TGACGAAGTAGCCTGTGTCCCAGATATATCATGTATTGCAAGATTACCTTGTGTTTTTAAAGTATTTAAGTTAGTATCAATATTTACATTATATACATCTTTTGAATTGTCATTAACCTTATATACATCTTTTGAACTGTCAAAAGTACTAATTGCACTATTAAGTGGTAGACTGTCAGCAAGTAAATGTACATCACACTCAGTATTTAAAACTTGGCACTGTGCCAGGTTTTGGTAGGGTTTACAGCCAGTGGAGACGGTGGGCTCAATTGCCGTATCATATTGCAATTGAACGACGATACGGCAATTGCCGTATCGTCTTATTTTAATTCCAAACGCGCATGTCTAGCAACTCAGCGCTATTAAAGCATAATACGGCAATTGCCGTATCGTGCGTCAATTTTATTAAGAGTATTTATTTTTTATTATCGCCCAAATACAACAGCCCTGGAAGGTCTATTAACACGACTCAAGCAAATATTATAATTCTAAATTCAATTTTACGCTGGTTTAAATTAAAAAGTCATTTTTATACTTTCTAGGCTCCAGCGTAGTGCAATACTTAAATATAATCAATACTGCGCTTAAGACTGAAACACCGATCTTTGAAATACATTTTTATTTCTATTGAAAGTATGATGTTTGATATCTCAAACGCACTGAGACTACCGATAAACAATATTTAAAATTAGGTTTAGCATTTAAATCACTGATTTTTAATTACGAAAATAGACTGAACCTAGTATCAACAAGATATATCAATTATTAGTCAGTTAGTATGGCCAGTATATTTAATCAAAACATTGTCGATTATATTATGCGATACTGTTTATTTGCGATATGAAATCTGTGAAAGATTCAGTTAAAAAGATTTTTCCTTGGGAAATGGGAAGGAAAGGGAAATGGTAGAATATTTGTCATTATCCACGAAAAAACAAAACTTAGTAGTAGATATATTGCCCGTGGTAGATCGCTATGAAAACGTTCTTGGCAGTCTAATGTGCATGAAGGCATATAGTTTGACAAGTATTACGGAACCAAATACATGAAATAAAGTCTTCTTTGCGCATTTGCAATTGCAATAAAGGTTTCAAGAATTTCTTTAAAATTATGAGTTTATTACTGTATTTGAATGAAGTTTGTATGATGTACATGTCATTCCTCCTCCTATGTTGAAGCTGAGACTATACATATCTAATTGCGGGTGGCGCGACACGGGAGATACAACTCTCGGATCAAGTTTAAAATTCCTTTTATCTGTTTATGTTAGTCTCAGGTTGAAGTAAGTAGGTTTTCAGACGCAAAATGTAATATTTCCGCTGTAATATAATTACGAATTGAGGCTTAATACTAGTAAATGGAAATGATCAAATGTGTATCAACATTTTTCAATCTGCGTGGATTCCGTGAAAGTACACGTAACGATTCATACCTGTATGAAGTATGCTGAAACGGCCGAGATCTGCTTATATATTGATACATGCGCGGCCTTGACAGAGCAAACCTACTAACCCACATACGTGTGCTACTAACCTAGATACGTCTAGCTAATTTGCATAATGTTGTTGCAGTCTGAATCCACTTTCTGGCTCTAAACTGGCTGTTTAAAAAATGGCATTTATTAGTCTATAACTCTGCTATTAGTTGACAGATTTCGAAATAAATAAAACCATGGTTATGCTCGGAACTAAAGCTTTCTGAACTAAAGCTTTCTGATGGTTCCACTTTGTAGTGACCAAATTGCGAGAAAACTGAGGAAATAGAAGGTAAAGGCGATTTCTCGAAGTCCAAGTTCCACATAAGAAATCCTGCGTTCTGATTGGCTGGCTTTCTAGCAGTCCCAATCCACTTTAGCTCTCCAAACTCGCCGTTTTAGAAATGACACTTTTCGGTCTTTTTCTCCGCCATTTCTTAGTCGATTTCTAAAAGCATAATGTCATAGTGAAGCTGACAAAACCAGCTTCCCGATTGTATCACTTTTGAAGCGATCCATGTGCAATAGATAGGTGGAATTCGAGCGTGAAAAAGTTTCTCCATAATCGAAGATTCACTTGAGAAATACTGAGGAATCGGGCATTCTGATTGGTCAGTTTTCCTGCATTCTCAAGTCACTTTCCCGACTCTAAACTGAGTTTCTAGAAATGGCACTTGCTACATACGTCTCTTGGTTTTGTTTCTGGGCGAATTGGTTGCTGGACGAAATTATCCAGGCAGCATTGTCCGTCTGAGAACAGTAGTAATGCGAACGGTACTTAGTACTTTGAACGCGATCTAGTAATGACTTAAAGCCGAGACTTTTATACCTAAAACGTCAGTGTAAAGGATGAATCAAACCCAAAATGCATGCAGGAAGACGATGTTATTTATAATAACGATAAAATTAAAATGAAAACCTGTCTGGTTTCATGTTATTCTCGCCTCTGGAATGTCTGAAGAGCACCTTAACCCCCAAAGTACGTTTTTGTCTTTTGCCTAAAATAAGTGAAACTTTGAGAACCCACGGGAGTAATTGCACACGGCAGAATTTAAATGCACGCGAGGAAAAGTTTATTTTATATATGTTCTTCTAATATCAATAAAAAAATTCATGCCATCTCTTTATTTAATATTGCCGAAATTAAGTACAAGGAGGGTCTGTTGCAATTTCACAATTTCAGGGATTTCAGGTTGTAATCGGCCCTTGTGCACTGGAGTAGAAATAAACGATATCTAGGACAAAATATTTCATGTCATTAAATTTAAACCCCCTATTTATGGAAAAGACTTAAAATTTTTACTTACTATGGGTGTTATATGATTTAATATGAATTTGAAGTCCGAAATTGTTTAGATTTTTAAAAGATAACCGTTATTACAAATAATGACGTTCTATACGGCAATTGCCGTATCGCCGTTCAAATGCAGTATGATACGGCAATCGAGCCCATCGTCTCCACTGACAGCCTGTGCATATGTTGTGGGACGTTTTCCATTCATGATGGAGAGCATAGCATCTACAAGTCGGCTACGGCCAGTAGGGTTGAAGTGGAGTCTGTCGTTAAAAAGGACTCTCATACAGGGATTGTCAACAGTAGAATTATTTACTGCATTGATGTCCACAAACCCATGTCCTTTTCTTGTACAAAAGGAACGCATTTCCTTGTTAACATAGTCTATCTTGGTATTCCATTGTGCTACTATTTTAGGGTTGTCACTATCACCACGATGATGTATTCCACATAGGATAAGTTTAGTTTGTGGATGCTTATTGCTAGCTGTCAGTAACAGATTTTTTAGTTCATAGACCATGTCTTGTGGGTCATCTTTTTTGACATTGTTTGTGCCAAATCCGAGAAACTTGAAATCTGTTGACTGCTTAAGGTCTCCTTGTTGCATACTCTTTGTCGCAAAATCTATTGTACAACCGCTGTAGATTGAGCCAGTAACAGATATGTTCTGGGGAGATTTCCGCTTCATTGATTCAGTTAGCTTCTTTCCATTACTGTCATACATTATATATAAAATGTTGCTTTTCAATTTACTGGATATTATTACTCTAGCTTCAAAGAGGCACTTAACTTTGTGTTTGATAAATATTAAATATTAATACCAAATAGCATTTCATTGTTCTGTATAATAAACCAGTTGTATAAACAAGTAATATTTTATATTAATTTAATTCCCTAGGTAAGTATATGATGTACACATGTACTTTATTAGTAATGCATTAAATATGAAGCAGATATGTCAGATCAATATGTCTATAAACTGACTGTGCAAACTGTATCTGGGTTATATATCAAAATACTGTATTGATTTAGTAAAACACAAATGAATGTTTTTTTGATAGTCTCGATCTCCCTCATGTATAATACATGTTAGGGTAAACAGTGATCTCCCCAGGATTGTTTCTCAGGTGGGTGTCAAATTCTCATTTTCACACTTCAGACCAAAATTGGTCAAGATATGGCAAATTGTCATGATTTTTTCTCATTTTCAAGTGGGTGCAAATGGATTTTCAGGTGGGCGCAAGCCTATTTTCAAAATTTCAGGTGGGTGCTGTGCCCAGTTGCTTTAATGCTGGGGAAATCACTAGTAAATGATACACTGTATATTGATTGATGTAATAAGAGGTTTTGTGACACATAGAGACATTCTGGTCATCTATCTGACATTGTAACATTGAAACCTATGGAAACCTCTAACAATCACTTGGGATAATGTGGATAATTTAAACTGGATTGATATATCAGGTGCCCCAAAAAAGTGATTCACTTTTTGACAAATATTTTCTCAGCAATTGATAACTCAGATTTACTGAAAATTTCTATAGAGTAGCCTAATGGTATCATTAGCAAGTTGAACAAACATGAAAGAGATCTGAGTTACATCTCATCTGATACTCATAGCATCTTTCTGTTTCACCTGAAACATGCTCTGATATTATGAGGCATATTCTGTGATCTGAGCCCATCAGATGGGAAGAGTTATAACTGTCAATAAGTGTGTTAGTTATCATGTAATCATTTACCTAATGTCAATACACTACATAATAGGCATTGTATTTAACAGCAGATATTTTGCACAGGTACGTGTACACAAGTTTAATGACCCCAATTAAATGAAATATGAGCTGGGATGAAAGATCTCAAAAATCCTCAATTTTTGGCTCTCCTGGATCGCCAAATCAAGCTCATTATATCATGGCATCTCAGGGCTGAGAAGAAATGAGATGTCATGATAAATCATGATGGTTACATCTAAGAACATTGAGAAATGACAAATTCAAAAATGCATGTCAAAATGATAAATAAAAATAGCATTATAAACTGTATTAACAAAAACACTAAATAAACAGGGCTAGGGGGCTTTTAACTTCATAAAGTTACAAATTCATAAATCAATTGTTCTAACTATGGATATAATGACCTCACAGATATAGAACAATGGATTTTACGAACTCTTAACTTTACGAAGTTTCTGTTAACGGCCCCAGGAATGAATATTTAAGAAATTCTTACCAAGTTGATAAGCCTCTGCATGGCATGTTCATGGCTCCATACACACTCACAGGGGTCGAATCCACCCTCCGCCATACTGAAAAGTAAACATTGTTATATAAATGTTGCGTTGATTTACTATGGTACGCATCAATGTTATACCAACCTACAAGAATTTTAGAATTTTATCCTACAAAAGAGATATAACACTTTGATTTCAAAGGATTACATGCTATAAATTCTTTCTTAAAAAAACATGCAGACTTACTTATTCTACAAAAGTTTTAATCATATCGAAGAAGGCAAAAATGCCTGTTCTTAAATGTGCAGTTCCAAATTTATTTATAGGGAAATAGTCTCAAGAATATGCTCCCCCAGCTATTACAAAGAACACTGAGAATATTTGAAAATCTAAAATCTGAGATCATATTAAGATCAACGAAATTGATGGTAAAGGATTAGGATATATTTTCAATAAACAGTCAATGATATCCTCCATGAGATACCTATTTCTTGGTAGAGGATCCATTTAATGTCAAACCACTATAATTCCTTGTATCTTCACTTGTATGACAGTGGGGGGGGGGGGTTGATACCTGTTTCATATTTACTTAACATTCTCCTTGCAGTTCATTCGTGCTAACTTTGCCATAGAAATCAGCACTACTATGAGATCAAGAACATTGGGTTGGAAGCCTGCTCACCCAGAAATGCAAGGAGGATTATTGGTATGAAATATCAAATAAGGAGTCTGTACACGAAGACCATATTCCCTTGATCGTCTACAGCACAGAAAATGTCATTATTTTTCTGAGCATAGAAACAGACTATGAATTCATAATCAGCAGTCAGAATGATTTGAACTAATATTTCGATGAATCCTCATGTGTTTTGTAATATTTTTGGGGAAATTAGACCAAGACTTGTGTAATGACCCGAGGGAATCGCCAGATAGAGAAATTGAAAGAAATTGTGCTAAACTCAATGCCCCATGTGCAGTGTATGCCCTTAAAGATCTTAAAGCTGCTGGTCAAAATTGCATCATTGACCAGTTGCAGTGTTATTTCCTTACCTTTAGAAAAAATCAATTGGTCAGTATTAAAAGTAACCTGGTAATGACCAGCTGAGCGGCCCTTAGGGTGAACCTTGCCCATGTGGGAATAAAACCTAGGACCCTTGGATCTAAAGCTGGATGCTCAGTACCAACTGAGCTAAAAAGGCTTAAGCCACTACAGCTGGGCCATAGTAGCAATTTGCTAAAGGGTCGTTTCACTTGCGATTGAAATTCTGAAGTGAAAAAACGGCGGCTGTTTGATTTTGAAAGATATTCAACTGCTTCTTTATAAAAAATTTATATAAATCATTGAACAAGAAGTACATCAACCTATATACGGATATAGTCCTGAGTAAGGACATTAGCGGTTACTGTTAGTGATTTGGTTTTCTGAATAAAAAGTCATTTTCTCATTCCCTACCCCATTGGAGCGCCATCTGGCGTTTGGGAAGTGAATCGGGACTAAATATTTATAGGGTAGGTCCTAATTTATCTGAAAACATGTCAGAGTTCAGTGGGAAATCTCATTTTAAGCTGGCGGCGGAGTGATTTTGACCTTGGTGATTTTACCAGAATTCTCTGAGAAATCTGACGATAGAGGGGGCTAGTGTCTTCAAGTTTATTTATTTCAAAAATTCGGTGGACAACCCATGGTAATATTGTTATAGCAGGCTAGGCGAGTCTCTCCCGAACACTGTGGTATGTTGCACTAGGCTTGGATACTAATCGTTAATAAGATACAGGGTAAAATGTTATAATGGCCACCTATGGGAAACTCTACTGTGGTCTCCAACCTATTAGAAGGCGCTTTTTTGGGGCATTTTGAAGGTTTTATCCCTTTTTGAGGTTTTTTAGTTCATTGAGAAGCCTAATAGCGCATATCATATAAAAGGGCTGTATCTTAGCTGAACAATGCTACCAAAATCGTGACATTTTGAAGCAATTTTGGTGTTTTTGGGGCGAGGCCATTGTGCCAAGTACCCCGAATTCCATTCTTCCGTGCCATTCAATTGTTTTCGGGGCAGTTTTGAATGAACCTTTGTTTCTTCCTACCAATATGACGTTATAAGATGCAATCGAACGCCTTGGCATGGATATCACTTGAAAGATAGTAGAAATCGCTTTCAAATGATACCCCATATGGCCATGTGCACCTCAGTTGGGTGTACTCAATCTGTGATGCAATCTGTAAGGTGTACCCCTACCCAAAAGAAATTTCAAGAAATCTCAAAATCAAATTTCCTGAATTTTGCTAAAAGGACCTGTGTCTATAAGGATTGAATTTTCCTCCCTGCATTTTCTCAAATATAGGATTGTTATATACCATTGTGATCGGGATAATACCTACAATGCTAATATAACCATGTTGGAAGAAAACAAACTAATTCAGTTTACTATTAGGATATAGTCCTGAGTAAGGACATTAGCGGTTACCGTTAGTGATTTGGTTTTCTGAATAAAAAGTCATTTTCTCCTTCCCTACCCCATTTGAGCGCCATCTGGCATTTGGGAAGTGAATCGGGACTAAATATTTATAGGGTAGGTCCTAATTTATCTGAAAACATGTCAGAGTTCAGTGGGAAATCTCATTTTAAGCTGGCGGCGGAGTGATTTTGACCTTGGTGATTTTACCAGAATTCTCTGAGAAATCTGACGATAGGGGGGGCTAGTGTCTTCAAGTTTATTTATTTCAAAAATTCAGTGGACAACCCATGGTAATATTGTTATAGCAGGCTAGGCGAGTCTCTCCCGAACACTGTGGTATGTTGCACTAGGCTTGGATACTAATCGTTAATAAGATACAGGGTAAAATGTTATAATGGCCACCTATGGGAAACTCTACTGTGGTCTCCAACCTACATGTATGTTTAAATGCAGACATCATTTTGTTAAAAGTAAGTTTGGTACTTATTTGAAATTAGTCTAGGGCAACGGGGTGTGACGTTGATATGTGGGGTACTGTTGACATAAGAAATAGGGTAACTTCGACACTTACTTATTAGAATTTTTGTTTTCTGCCATGATTGATTTCTGGAAAAATAAAATCTCGCAAGATCTTGATCCATGCAAGAAAAAAACATGGCTTCCCCCTGGAACGGAAATTAGCAAATAAACAACAAGTTGTCAAAGTTACCACATATGTCGAAGTTACCACAAAATGGTATCCACGTAACGCCTTTGCCCTAGTTACAACAATTATTTCTAAAAAGTTATTAGTGCAACATGCCATGGAGCTCTCTGATTGAAAAGTGAATATTAAAAGTAAAATTGTACAAACATAACCTGGCCATAGAGCGATGCTATTTATATCAAAGCGCGAGTATCTAGGGGAAGTGGTCCTAATTATCGCACGGTCCTAATTATCGCACGATTGTCCTAAATAGCTAGAATATGCACCCACCATCTTTTAAACCAGTGTTACGAAAAAACGTTCAACACCATTACTCCCAATCTTCATGATTTATTCATATATTTAGAAATATCTCTTCATTTTTTAGGAATTGTTTACTTCCGCCATTGTCATAAATGCTTTTGCGCAAGAAGTGAAATTCGTCTGACAAATTTTGACCCCCTCCTAATAAAGACAGAAAAGTACGTGTATAATGTATATTTTGTTGATATTTTACACTAAAACTGATAGAAAAATGATTACAGCATATGTATGTATCTGTTATAAACAGAGAAATGTATACAGTATCGTGAAATGACATCTGAAACATAACTGTGCGACTATTAGGACAACTGTGCGATAATTAGGACCACCGCACATGCGAGTCTAAGGGGTCTTAAAGTGTTAGCGTTCGGAGATTGAGAAATGTCAAACACTACTTAGATTTTAGAGGAAAGGTTGATCTTTCGTCTCATATTCTCAAAGTAAGTTGAAGTTATCATATTTGAAATCGTCAGTAGTTTCCCTGAGTACCCGTGCGATGATAGGACCACTTCCCCTACATGTATGCTCTGAATCGCAAACAACGTTGTGCTGAATTGGAACACAGAGCATTTCTCTGTGCAGCACAGCCATTTCATAAGTGTACTGAAGCATGGGCTTACATGTAAGATACTCTTGGACGTTCCTCTATATGGCAGAATATCGAGTTGGAACCCTGGGAGCCAATATCCTTCGTCAAGTCCTGCCAGAAAAAAGTTGAAAAAATTGCCCTCGGATTTTTTTACATTTGTAGAGGTCAGAACAGATATATTATAGACAAACAACATAGCATTTCAAGCTACTTACCCGTCGTAATGCTTCTTGCAGCTCTTAAACGATAATGTAGTCCCTAATAGCCGCAGAAATGCGAGATAAATGGATAAATATTTGAGGTACACGTAATGTTTTGAAGACGACGACCCGGATGATAACAGTTGTTTCTAAAATGCAAACTTAGCCTTCGAAAGAATCGTGATTAGATTTATATTTTTTATTTGGTATATAAATATTTAATTTTTTAATATAATATTTAAAATCACAAAGTATCATTAAATCAATTACCTTTGTCTGAGTATATAAATATGTTGTTTTATTTGTCAATCTTTTGTTTGTCGTTTTTTGACAAGTTTTCTTTTTAGATTAGATTACCAAACAGCGCATGCGCATCAAAAGCGGAACCTCGTGAAAATTAAAAATCTCAGGAATTATTTACAAAAGTGTCGTAGTTATGGCATTTGCTGCATCTAGATGTTTATTTAACACTGTAAGAACTTCTTTGAGTAAGGGTTCATCCTTGAGTTCAAATGTCAATGCATCCAGATCTATTTTAAGAGGAGAAAGTGGAAGAACATTTACCCGGTCAATGTGGCACATGTCAAATCAGAGTAAGGAAAGTGATGTAAATATTTTATTAGGAAAACATGCAGTATGGAGCAAAACATGTGGCTGTGGGATGCATACAGAAAGTAAGTAACCAGAAATTAGTTTTGTAGCCTTTCTTATGATGACATGCGAGAACATGCATCAATTTTGAATGTGTTTCTGTAGCGCACTGTTCAGAACGATCGATCCTGAGCTTACTCGAGTGTCTAGCCAATTCTTGGCTAGAAGTAATTTCATCTGGAACACCGTGAACCATTTGAAAAAAGCTGGCCGTCGTGTATTATATTTATTAAGTATTTTAAAATCGCCAGATAAATAAATCATGAAATAAAATGGAACTGGCTGGGCTCCTTGATGAGATAATGCATGATTTCTTCTGGATTTTGTCTAAAATAAAGATAAAATGGCGATATTCGAAAACTGGACGAAATGTTGTTATTGTCTGTATTGTCTCAGTTAGCGATCCAGAAGATGTGAACTAATACATTGATCACTTAATCTTACCTTAGGTTATCCCGTTCCAGGACTATAGTCCTGTACGGAGCCCATACATTTGCCTGTACGATTACAACTTGGGAGAATTATCTACGCCCCTTCCACTTAAGAAACCTACCTCAATGCATTCTAGAACTCAAAATGTAACTTCTAATATATTGGAACCGCCGATTGTCTGGGTTAGTTGGCAGAACGAGGTCTTTTTGTTTCTTATGGCTCTTTTGGTCGAAGTTCGATTAAGATGGCGGTTATAACGGAATTTCCCGAACTCTTCCGTAATAGCACGAACTTGGTTTTTCGTTACTTCACTTCCATGTAAAATGGATTTGTTTCCGGTAAGAAACATTGTTTAACCATTCGGTATACAGTTAAGAGCATAGGATGTCGACATGGCAGTAAATATTGAAAATATTGTCCGAAATTTTCGAAATTCCCTCTTACCCGAAACAAATCCATTTTACACGGAAGTGACGTAACGAAAAACCAAGTTCGTGCTATTACGGAAGAGTTCGGGAAATTCCGTTATAACCGCCATCTTAATCGAACTTCGACCAAAAGAGCCATAAGAAACAAAAAGACCTCGTTCTGCCAACTAACCCAGACAATCGGCGGTTCCAATATATTAGAAGTTACCTTTTGAGTTGTAGAATGCATTGAGGTAGGTTTCTTAAGTGGAAGGGGCGTAGATAATTCTCCCAAGTTGTAATCGTACAGGCAAATGTATTGGCTCCGTACAGGACTATAGTCCGGGAACAGGATAAACCTTAGGCACGTAAAACGCTTGGTAATTGAAGAAATACAAGCATGCTGCTTGATTTTTAAAACTTTCTCATTTTGCATACCAAGGTCACTTTCGGGTCAATCTGATAGTCTAGATGTAAAACTATATCAAAAGAAATCATAAGTATTTGTAACACGAAGATTCAGATGGAAGAAACGCAGTGTCATTAAGAAGGCAAGTAACTTGGATAAGTTATTGTTCCAGAAATGAGAAAAGTGAGTAGTATGAAAGAACAGCTTTTGAATCTCTGTGTAATAAATAATTATGATTCCGTTTTGATCCATGTTTACATATAGACTACCGGAAACAACATTTAGCAACATGGCGGGTGATAATGAAAATATACTTCAATTGATTATATTTCGTCAATTATGAAGCGTTTCACATGTCTAAGGTAAGATTTAACACTTTGATGTTGGAGCAAAATAATAAGTCTATAATTTGTGAGACTTTGGTTGGTATGGATACCCAGACAGGCCAAGCGTTTCCCACAATTTGTTCCATATTATATCTACGACCGTATGTGCCAAGAAAATAATAAAAAATAAATATCCAAATAAGAACAAGGAACATCGAAGAACAGCATACAGCGGTCGGATTTATATGACTAGTTTACAGCAGTAAAAAACATGCAGGGATTTATCTTTGGACGAAGGCCATGATATAGTGGCCTTAGAAGAAGGTAATCTTGACCCTATGGTGTACAATGGCCACAGAGAATTACTCAATTAATGACTATTGCATAATGACTATACATGTCTCATGTAACCTACAATTTCAATCTTTACTGTTTTATATATGTTTAATCTTTGTATTTTGATTGATCTGTACATTTGGAATTTTTATGCAGTCCTCATTGGAGTCACATGTTATTTTCAGGAATAAATAACTCAGTTCAAATATGGTCTACTTTCACATTGCTGAAGGAGTGCACTAATGTACCTAGAAAAGAGTGTCATTGTTGTTGTTGAAAGCATAACAGTTACATTGTACATGTTATAATCTTTCCTCTTTCAGGCTTTTAAAAGGTACATTTAGAATGAGTTGTCTGATTTAATGGCTTTCAGTAACATGTCCTGGACATCAAGAAGACCAAGGTCTTGATGCCAGGACTCAAAACATAAAATGAGATAATTTGTCCCTGGGATGCAGTCTGTAAAAGTTTATTTCACTTTGCTCCTTTGTTTTATTTACCGTATATTCTAACTTTTCCTTTTGTTCTTATGGGAATCACTTTTTCATGAAGGGACCCATATTTCTGGGTCCCATGACCCAACTTAAGACTGCCCTACAAAAATCACTGATCATTTAATACCAATATTTGCAGATACAGCTATGATGCTAGAATACCTAAAGACAGATATAGAGAATGAAAAATCAACACTACAGTCTGTGCCCCCTCCTAAAGGTTATGCTGTAAAACAAGAAGGAGCTAATATCACTCTTACCAAACAGCATGGAGATACATTGTAAGTGTTAAATCTATGATTTTTGCCTCGTATTGGGAGCCTGATGAGTCACTTATTCAGCTGTCTGCCCATCCTTCCATCCATCTGTCCTTCCGTCTGTCAACAGTTTTCAGACCGATAAAAACTGCCATTTTTGAACAATTCATATGGATATCCATTTATGGGAATGCCCAGAACCATCTTGTGCCTTATTTTGAAATCAGAATTTTCATGTCAAATAGGAGTTTTGAGGATATGAGGAAATGCCCTGTGTATGTTTTACAGGCATATACAGGTACATTCACATGTGTGTGAATATCATTCTTATTATATTACTTAATTTTGCGGCCGTTTTAATTTGGCGGATCTGTCAAATCGTTCAAGTCCACCAAATTAAGTAGCAAAATTCCTTTGTAATTTAAACACTATGTAAATGAATAACATTAGTGCATTGTAATATTGCAAGTCCACCAAATTAGTAGCTGCCAAATGTTCAAAACAGCAAATCTGGCAAAATAAGTATAGCGCCAAATAAGTAGAAGTACAGTATCACATTTAAAATGTGACCTTAATTTTTGCACTGTATTTGTTAATTTGGCACTCATTTAAAAAAATATGAGTCCAAATCCAGAAAGATAAAATTGTGAACAGTGTTGTGTATATTTTGTGTTTAGAATCACTGTCAAGATGAACCTAAACCATAGTACACCAACAGACATCGATGAAGCTTATGAAGGAGAAGAGGCTGAAGCTGCAGAGGAAGCTGTACCTGAAGTAAGTCAGAAACTGACCCAGGCTTTCTTTATTTAGTTCAAGTATGATTTTAACCATGCCTTGAATACATTAATAGGTTTTGGTAAAAGGAAAAACTGTTTTCAGATTCAGGACCAGTTTTGAAGAAATTGTGTGTCCTAAATTCCTTAACCTATTCATTTATTCTAAGTTTGCCAATTAGTTTATCATGAAAGAAGTCTTATGCAGTGATCTTCCCAGCATTAAAGCAAGTGGGCAGTCGCAGCACCCACCTGAGATTTTAAAAACAGGCTTCCACCCACCTGAAAATCCATTTGCACCCACTTCAAAATGAGAAAAATAATGAAAAATCAGCATATTTTGACCAATTTTGGTCTAAATTGTAGAAATTAGAATTTTTTATGATACTTTTGAGAGCTATCCACTATTGTCAGTACTATGATCCCTAAAGTATTGTTGGAAAATTCTCATTTTACCTTTTTAAATTATAATCTCTCTAAGAAGTGTTCAAAACTAGAGGTGTCACGAGTCAAGAGGGATCGGGCCAGAAAAAAAGTGTACAAGTCTTGTAATATTGGGTTCGGTCAGAAGAAAACAGAAAAATGAATTTAGTATAAGCAACTGAAAGAACTGGGTGTATACATGGCACATTTTTGATGGGAATATAAAGCATTTTACGCAGTGTAATTATTTTCTATCTACATGTAATGTTGTTACAACTCTGATTTAGAAACTTTCCTAGCTGAAGATCTAGGTCCACAGTAATTGGTATTTGGTTACAGGCCTGTAGCAAGCTTTTGCCGGGGGGGGGGTTTTCTTCAAAAAAATTCCAGGAGGGGTGTTCACACTTGACAACTTTGACCCAGAATCACTTGAAAAGTGCCCAGGATGGTGAAAATCTGCATGGTTTTTGAAATAATTGTTGACAGGCCTCATGATATTTAATCCTTTAGGTTCTTTGAACTAATTCCTTATATGCATTGTTTTCTGAATCATTTCAGTTAGTAAGTGTTCCTGACCTAGAAATCTTCCTCACTAAAGGATCAGGTCCGTCATTGTTCTTCTGGTTTCAAGCCATGGAGGGTGCAATCCCTGCCGCTAACCCAGAGAATGTTCCAGAAGAAGAAGAAACTGAATTCCGTAAGTGAGGTTTTTATCACACATCATTCATACACATGATAGGCGGGGGGGGGGGATTTCTCAAAGATGAGCTTTGATATTGCCACATTTGATAACCAATTTTATAAACAGGCCTCATTTGCAACAGGCCTCATTTGAAATTGATCTCAGAATGTTCGCTGTTGTTTTATGAGAATTCTCTTCAAGATTGAATCAAGTTACTTAAACACATGTAGTATTACCATAGTTTTAGAATGATGATGTTGAACTTATATAAACGCCATTTTCACAATTTATACGTGGCTCTGAGAGAGCACATGCTCATGATTGTTTACCTGGTCATACAGTATACTGATGGGCATGATTTAAATAAATTATGTTCATGAATACATGTACGAAAGAATATGAAATTATTATGGGAGCTTCTCACTTCTGCATAATAGGTGATGCCGAGATATAAGTTAACTTTTTGGTGGTCATTTTGTTTCTACTGGTAGTCACAATATTTTCAGCCTGGCCCATTTCAACGTACCGTATTCTCTGTAATTACCGCCCACCCTCTAATAAGCGCCCACCCCGCTTCACAAAGTTCAAGAAACATTGAGGAATCGACAAGAATTGAAGAATCTATCAGAAAAAATCATATTTCCGAAAATCCATGAGCGGGCGATAATAGAGTACTCACCCTAAACTGCTGTAAACACGAAGCGTTTTATAATTCTATGCATCCTGTCGATAAATATCAATCGATGGGTGCTTCCCACACCATACTATGCTAATTTTGTCTCAGAATAGTTTATAATGAATGAAGGAATTGTTCTTTATCGGCATTCAGTAATATCCGAAAGCTACTGCGCAGATGTTCTGCGCATGTCAAGGTTGTGAACTTTCTGGTTTCTTTTTGACGTTTCTCGACTTTTACACGACTTTAACATGAAAAATGATGATCTCTAATCAAAATTTAAAATAAGGTTTAACTTTAGATCGATATCCAACAGTCTCTAGTGGAAATATTGAAGGTAATCGGCGATAATGACAAAGTGGGCGTGCCGGAAATAAATTGGTCTTCAATCACTGTCAATATTGTCTAAGCGATCTTTACCGTATTCTCTCCAATAACAATACTTATTATTATTATAAAAATAAGTTGAAAATAAGGCATTCTTGGCAAGAAAAATTGCCATACATGAAATTTCTCGGGATTTCTGATTTCTTTAATACATGGGCGCTTATTATAATGGTCTGAATGATGTATTTTCAATTTTCTAACCGCCCTGGGCGCTAATTACAGAGAATACGGTACTTGTAATTAATTGTAGCCAAATTGTGACACTTCCTTTATGTAGTTTTAATACCAAGTGTTCATGTTTTATTTTCAGCCTGGCCTTACAGTGTGTTTGAAGTAGGCTTTGCTAACCCAGGAGATGAAAAACAAGATATTAAGAATTATGTCATCAGCGGTCAGGTTATGGATGGGGTATGTATACTTGTGAATGTTTAAATTAAAAATATTGAAAGTTGGCGAATTTGAATCTGATTAATGCAATCTAATATGCTAATGTAAGGTAAAATTGTAAATGTACTCACAATATTTATTTTTGGTAATTAAGAAATATAGACCTAACAGCAGGTGTTATATCGACAAATACATACTGCAGGGCTAGGCACAAATGTTTTCTCTGCCCCGAACAACCAAAGGGAATGAGGGGTTCGAAAGCTTTTGTGCTTAGCCCTAAGGTATATATTCATTGATATAACACCTGCTCTTGAGGTCTGTATTATGATTCGAACATGACAACTCAACAACATTTTTTAATATTCATTATGGCCGCCATTACTACGATCTGCTGTTATGACATCACACATTACTCATATTACCAGGTGCAGTCTATCCGTATACATACCGGGTGAAATATTGACTTTGTTCAGAGTTAATAGAATTATTGTTTCATTATTTCAGAGCCTTCATGACATGCACTTAAACATGTTAGAGGACCTGGGTGTGGACAACCAATTCTTAGATGAACTTTTTAAATACACCACTGCAGAAGAACATCGCCTTTATATCAAGTTCCTAGAACAAACCAAGGACTTTGTTGCCAAGTAAATAGCCATGGAAAATACCATCAAGTATTTTACAGTTGCCAAGGAAATGTACATGTAAAAGGCCTTGAATTAAGACAAACTAGTGTAATGTACACATTATTGCCAAATTTGAGTGTTAAAAGGCACATAAAGCTCTGAACAATTGAAGTTACTGTAACATTTGCTGATAAAACATATTGATTAGAGGTACCAAAAAATGATCAGCCTGTACTAAACATTCTGTTGTGTTTTGTTTGGTAGCCCAATGTACAGGGTGCCCCATAAAAATTGTAGCAAAGAAACATACGTACTATAGCCTTGCCCGTTAAGTGTTAAATCATGTCATGTAAAACATTAACTATCTTGTGGAAGTAGTGAACAAATTACTCAGATGCGAGTAGGTAGTTTCCAGTTTCGCCACCAGGTGGCTGATTCGGGGGAAATAACATGGCAGGGTATTACAAAATCCCCTTAAACTTGAATATTCATCAGTTTTATTGGTTCACTTTTCATATTACCCTTATGTATGTGATAGTTATACAAATGAAAATATGTCCAGTAAAATTATTATCTGCCCAACAAGATATTTCAGTTCTTGTGGTTTTACAACATGGGGTCTATGGAGAATCTCTGACCTAGAAGTCACATTTTCGAAGAAGATTAAATTTTCAAAGTTGATAAACTCTTTTCAAAACCACATTTCCACCCTTGGTATACGCAGCTAGCGAAAATTGAAGTGTCTAATTTGAAATATATGATGCCTCCCGATGCTTTTAAGTACCCCAATTTTTCACAGATTTTTAAACAGACCAAAGCTCTCTAAATGCGCATTTATGAACTTTTCTCTCGAGAACGACTGTCTCATTTTCATGATAACTTTTGTTTAGTACTTCTAACATATAAGATCAATTTTTCCCCATCAAGGTATGATGTAAATGACATGCTATTTACATCTTATGAGTTTCAATGATGCGCGTTTGATTTTATAAAAAATGCCAAACTTTGTCACAAAGAATTTCCTCCTGCTTGCAGCGAGAAGACGGACTGGTTCGGGGCAATAGCACACATGTATAAAGATTCCTAAATTATGTTCACGACAACCGTTTCGGTGACCAGAATCGAGTGGATCACCAGTACAAGAAGCCATTGGTATATAGATGTATAGCTTGTTTTCTGATACATATTTTTAAAACTACTGTAGCCAACAATTTATATATAGAGCTAAAACATGCATGACATGCATGCATCATTTTTACGTTTTCAGTTGATAGTTGTGTTTCCTCTCTAATATATCACTTCAATTTGAATATATTTGAGCGGTTAGTGGTTGTACGTACGTTACATGTCCACAATGAACGTCATACATACGATGCCAGTATTCCCCAAATAATATTTTGTTTTCTCTTACTATCTAAGAGCTGAAAAAGTACAACGTTTAATCATCAGCCTTGGAGAGAATGATGGCTATATCATTTCTAATATGAGGTAAAAATGACTTGTATTTTTTACTTTTGTATGGCCCTTTGAAATGCATTAGTGTGTAACGACATGACATTTTTAGCGTTTCAAAGTATACAAGCCTAGAAGAGTAAATTAGTATCAAGTGAGTCAGTCGTATAGGTAAATGATATACTCGACTTAATTAATGTCTAGTTGAGCCGACTTAATTGAATTCAAGATTTGATTTGGGCCGACATAGATGTGAACATGTTAAAGTAGTTCTCGAGGAGGGATTATGTTATAAATGGAAATTATGTACAGTAACTTATGACTTTAGAACTGTCAGCACACGAGAGGCAACTCGATTACTGAAAGTGTTTCAATAACGTATATATTAAGGTGGTATTAAACTATTAATCGACGCCATTTCAATCGAAAGCATATATATGAACGTTGTTGTAACGATTATAATGTCGTTGGTGGTATCTGTCGCATTTGTGTTACAACTGATTCGAAAGATAAAATGTGATTTTATCGAGGGCGTTATGGTTCTTCCGATGACAGGGTTTTCGCTAATTGTTGTTGTCCTGACGCTTGTATCTGCTGGGATATCAACCGCAGGATACCGTGCTTATTGTTCTACTAGAGGTAAGATATAACAATACCGACGATCTGTCACTCGAACTATAAACATCTTAGTTTGAACAATCGAGGCATCACGATCTAGTATAGAAGGAGTTGACATAAGAAACATTATGCCTAATGATGACTCAGCAAATCAAAGTAGCTTTATGAAAAAGTGATTCAGATGCTATTTTCTATACAATGCTGTCGGTTTGTTATACAGTGTATTACATACCTGGCGAAGCATTTGTATGGAAGTCAATGGGAAAGTTAGCGAGCTATATCCACCGATATTGCCCGATTACCCCGATATAGCCCGCTTACCTCGTTTTGATATTAGATTTCTTTAATAACCATGATAATATCATGACGTCACGTCATTGATACAAAGTAACCATGGGAACAAAGGCATGTAATACATCAGTTATGTCAATATGACGTGAAATATGCCTTCGTTCTTGCCCAAATATAGAGCCTCCCAAGGTCGGCCTATATTGGGAGAACTCAGGCATATTTCACGTCATAGTGACATAACCTCTAAATAATTATACCACTTTGGCTTATATTGTAGTCTTACTTATATTGTAGTCTTACCCAATGTTATCAAAGTGTGATCAAAAAGTGGATTTTTGAAGGACTTTTTGTTAAAAATCGTGAATTAGAGAAGTTTTAGAGGTCATACATATCTGTTGTAGGAATCTCGAAGGAGTTTTCTGTAAAAAATCGAAGATATCGTTTCAAAATCGGGAGTTTTAACGAGAAATTCAGAATGGGGGTGTCTCGTTGAAAAATCTAAAGTTTTGAAAGAAAAATCGAGAGATAAAAACGGGATTTTTGAAAATCGGCGATTTGAATAAAAAATCGGGGTAACAAACTATAATATAGGAATTTCTCCCGATTTAAATGGGGACTTGACAGGCGAGTAATTCAAAATTTTATTTCATTTACGTATGTTACATGTACTTTTAGAGAGCCAGGGGCGGAGTTGTTCATATATAATTTGGAACGACGATCCGGACAGCGTTCGGCATGATTTGAGTACGCCAATGGAAGTAGTCATCGTGTGCTCGTGGATTATTTTCATTATCTGGCTCATTATCGTTGCAAATGGTGCATACAGCCTGTTTAAATATCACAGGAATAGAAACATGAATGCGCCAAAAGGAAACGAGACAGAGAGATACTAACCTGGGAACACGTTCCTGTGGACTACGCCAGACATGAGCATTAACAAGACATTGATAGCCACAACCTGATAAAATGTATATTAGGATTTACTGATAACGACGGGATTTTAGGTCTTCACTGTTGGATTGATCGACCTATTATGATGTATTGTATTACTAATAATGCCAAGGTCATCGTGCTACTCATCAATGCTTTCTCATGTATCCCAAGGCCTTTATCATCACAATGAGGTCTTATGTATCATTATGTCTAGCACTATGGTAGCCCATGGTCCCATAATCCAAAACACTGTTATGTCGTACCTGGAGCCTTACCTTCTTCAATCTTAATAATATGATATCTATTTCAAAGCTAGACTATCAGTTATCACACGTTTCAGCATGTGATACAGGAAATATTCCACGAAAGGTAATACTGTATCATCCACGAAAGCGAAGCTTGAGTGGTGATACATTGTTACCCGAGTGGAATATTTCCTGTATCACATAAGCTGAAACGTGTGATGACGATTTTATCACATGTCTAGGCATTTTGAAGCATTTTGATTTGGTCAGTTATGATTGTGTTCAGTACCCTGTGTACTTCTGGTAACTATTATAATTTTTGATTTCGCTTTGAAACAATATGACGTCATACCGTTGTATTCGTACTTGTTTGTGAAATAGTATGACGTCATATTGTTTTCCTTAGCTAGAAGTGATATAATCAGTGACGTCACATCGTTGCTATTGATCATCACTGGTTGCCTCTAGTAACGTGTGAGACGGCCGTGTGAGACGGGAAAACTCACACGGTAATCAACCAATCAGATTACTGGAATTTTACAGAGCATGTGATAATATCAGTTATCACACGTTTCAGCATGTGATACAGGAAATATTCCACGAAAGGTAATACTGTATCATCCACGAAAGCGAAGCTTGAGTGGTGATACATTGTTACCCGAGTGGAATATTTCCTGTATCACATAAGCTGAAACGTGTGATGACGATTTTATCACATGTCTAGGAATTTTAAAACATTTTGATTTGGTCAGTTATGATTGTATTCAGTACCCTGTGTACTTCTGGTAACTATTATAATTTTTTATTTCGCTTTGAAACAATATGACGTCATACCGTTGTATTCGTACTTGTTTTTGAAATAGTATGACGTCATATTGTTTTCCTTAGCTAGAAGTGATATAATCAGTGACGTCACATCGTTGCTATTGATCATCACTGGTTGCCTCTAGTAACGTGTGAGACGGCCGTGTGAGACGGGAAAACTCACACGGTAATCAACCAATCAGATTACTGGAATTTTACAGAGCATGTGATAATATATTGTCTAACTTTGTGCAAAGTTAAATATCGTCGTCTCCAGGAAGTTCGTCCATTTTGTTACATAGACGTTCCGTCAAAGAAGTTGTGGAACAGTTAATAGTCCATTTGTCACCCCTATACATTCAATAGTGAACCTAGAAATTGTTAAAAGTACGATGTTTTATGGTCGATTTATGATAATAAGGGTTTTCTGAAGTGATTTAACTGGGTTGCCCAAAAAGTTTGTTTGGGGAAAAAATGATATAGGCTGATTAGGGAGGGGTGCAATCGCTTAACATGGCGTTGACTATTGACTTAGCGTTTGGATACCACCATATACCTGGTATGTTATCATGGTAATAGATACAAAAAATTTCCCCAAAATTATTTTTTGGGCAACCCAGGGGGTCGTTTCCAAAAATGTCGTAGACTTACGATATCGTAACTTCAATTGTGTTTTCACGACAAGTAAAAAATTTCCGTTTCCAGAAATTTGTCGTAAACCTACGACAAACTACCATGTCGTACACCTGTCGTAGAAAGACAATAGCTATCGTGTGAAACCCACGACACCCCCTTAGGGTGTCGCAAGGTTGTCGTAGAGCAATATTTTAGTCATTTGTGGGGTTTTAATTATCTCATAGATTATGTCACAATTTACGTTGGCTTATGCAACGCGAGCACTTGACAGAAAGCAGAAGAAATTGCGGTTTCACGCGCTCCAGAACATAAGGTAAATGGCCATTTCTATGCATTGAAAAATAGAGAAACTGAAGTTCGTTAGCGCATCATCGTTCACATGGTTTTCTCTTTCTGATTTAGGAAT